TCACCCCTGGACTATGGCAATGGCAGACTAGCAGTGCAGTTAGTTCACTCTCCTCTCTGGGGGGGGGGGTTTCCTACTTAACTGTGGATATTCTTATTGTCCATATTAAGTGTTAAATTCTATCACTTTGTCAACTTCAATGGCAGAGACTCCTCCTACCTGGTACAGGGAATTATTTGTGATGCTTCCCCTGGTGCCAGGCACTTATTACCAGACAGAACACACTATCAGCCATTCACCGTATCCACATGCCAAACAGAAGAGACCTGCTGCATTCAGGGACCACAGAGAAAGCTACAAACACCACTAATGAGTATATTGGGAAAACATCTCTCTCCTTGATGTGGACAAGGATTTTTGCACATAAAAATATATGGCCTGTTATATACATGAAGTATTTTCCTAAGCAGGCATGCCAGACTACTTGAGTCTAAGACTGCACAAGAAATTCACATCAGTATCAAGATATATTCTGTTTGACAGAAATAGGTTATAACACATACATACAAAGAGCTGTGATTAAGGGTGATCACTCCGTTGGCTCCTTCCTCTCACCCTGTATTAACGTAGGTTTTGCACGGAATACAACAGACACAGACTCAATACAGGGAGATTTGCCAACACTTATGGTATTCTTCACAATGCAGGCCATTCGTCATTTAAGTTTTGTTATGTATTTTGGTATTTGAACAACTTTGCCATACACATAGTTATTAAATATTGCATTTATTTTTTAATACGGTGATTCAATTTGGTTGAACTGTATGCTGAATGAGTGGTCTCTGAGGCTAGAATTTGTAAATGTGTGAATTTGAAAAACAACAAAAATAATACCATTGTTCTCCTTCACATATAGCTTCCAGGGATACTGTGCTCACCATTGTTAAATGGATATTTACCAGAGCATGATATTAACTTAACTGCATTGTTTGTGATTACCTATTGCTGCTGTGAAGCACAACAAACACAATGAAAAGCTTAGCTACTGCAAGCGCTGTCTAACGTTCAATGGCACTCACTTTGCTTTCTCTCTCCATTTAAAGCTGAATTCAAATTTCAAATCAAAACCTGACAAAAAG